ACTTAAAGTTCTTCCAAAACTAGAAAGCTTCTGCTCAGGAAATTGCAACTTTGAATTTCCATCTTTGGCAGATGTAACCGTGATGGAGTGTCCAAATATGCTGACTTTCTCTGAGGGAGAAGTAAGTACACCAAAATTGCAGAAAGTGAAATTGACAAAAAATTCAACAGATGAAGGAATTTGGCAGGAAGGTGGCCTTAATCCCACAATACAACAGTTGTTCACAAAAAAGGTATCCTCTATTTCTTTCGTTCTATCTTTCTTTCCATCTCCTTAATTAGCTCATTAAAAGACACGATCAAATTAAATATGGGGAAAGGTTGTGGTAAACTTAATTAATAGATTATATGTAGTTATATGCTTTAACTAGCCTTCTAAATCAAAATGTGCTAATTATGATTGCAGAATGGTGATGACGCTGAAGAAGACTGGTCTGATGCTTTGCATAAGCTGTTCGATTAGGATGATGTTTCAGAAGGTGAGTGGATTCTCTGATGCCATCAACTTTGCTTGTCTGACATGTTAGCTTTCCCTTTAGAAAGACACATCCTTTATACAAGCTGCTAAATATATATATATATATATATATATATATGTTGATGATACTTTCTTCCTTGTAGGTTGTATGGTGCACTCCTAATTAAGCTGGATTTCAAGGGTGTCAAGCTGAATTTTTCTTGGCGCCTAAAATGTTATTTCAATTCCTCATAGGTTGTATGGTGCATTCACTTGTGACTTCGCCTTGTCAAAAAGACTTCAATATTTCTGGTTTGTATTGTGTGGGAGAAATTTTAAACTCGATTTTATTTTCATATGGATAACTTGATACTGCTACTAGAATATGAATGGGGCTATATATATATGCACACACATGACTTATGCATCTTAATTTTATCTCTTTTCCACCTTTGCAAATCCTCTGTTTGCTAATTGGCTCACTGTCAGCCATCAATTTACCCTTTACTCACCACCAGCCATGCAGTCTAATAATACAATTAGTTATGTTATTAATCACAAATTTAAGTTAAAACCTCCTGGGCCAAATTTAACGCGGGCAGGCCTAGTTGCGTCCAGCCTATGCGATCGGCTTCCCTTTTTTTCACTACTTTTCTCTCGCTCTCCTCCATCCAGAGGAAGTGGATAACTCCCGTCACTCAGCATTCCGCAGCCAACTCCAACTTTAATGATGCCTTTGGTGCAACAGATTATCTGGAGAAATTTCCACTGTTTCATGAAGTCTTGGTGTCTCCGAGACAGTCTGATCATAGCTCTACCTTCGGCTGTTCCTGTTCTCTTTCATGCCTACCAAATGTTTGTTAAAATGCGCCACCGACATTTTCAACCAAATCTGGCGGCAGTGTGCGTAAACATACATGTTGCAGGTTAGTTTTACTCTAGAATAAAATAAGAAGTAATTTTGTTTTATCTTAATCTATTTTTCGTGATTTTATTTTATTATCCTAGTAACCTATAAAAATAAAATAAATTATTAATAAATTATTTTTTGTTTGCTGGTGGACTTGTAGTGAGGATTTCTTTATTAAACTATAAAT